AATTATAAAGTAGCAGAAGAAGGCACCATAATTTTTTATGTAAAAAAGCCAAAAGGAAAAAAAAACCAGTCAAGGTCATCCACTATAAAATTGTAAGGACATAGGTCACTCTTCTTTGAATTAGAGAAAATGAAATTACTATTTTTATAATCACATATGTCTAATAGGCATACGAATTTAATTGTCGTAATTGGGCTACAACAAACGTGATTCTAGGTTGTAATATTATTAGTTGGTTGCAAATGTCATAATTGATTGCTATAAAGACAATAGTTTATCATAAAGAGTGGTCGGTGGTTGCAATAGTGTTGATTGGTCATCGTGGTCATAATAAAAAATTGTAGTAGCAGTTCACCACATAGATTGTGCTTGATCACACAATATGTAATTGGTAACTGTACTAGCATTAGTTAGTCACAAAGGTAATATTTAAAAGTTGTAGTAGCAAGTCACCACACATATCATAGTTGGTAGCTGCAATAACAATTAGTTACATAAACCATAATTTGTAATTGCATTAGCAGTTAATTACATAGGTTATAGTTAATCATATAAGTCATAGTTGGTGGTTATGATAACAGTTAACTACATAGGCCATAGTTAGTCACATAAGCCGTAGTCGGTGGTTGCAGTAGCAGTTAGCTCCATAGGTCGTAGACAGTGGCAGCAGTAGCAGCTAGACACATAGTCTATAGTTAGTCACATAGGTCGTAGTTGGTGATACACTGGTTGGCAGCTACAACCATTTTTTCAGGTTGATTACTTTACACCAGCGATCACTTGTCGATATACGACGTAAGAAGGCTTTAATACACCATGTTTGTTATATGTCATTGCACAATTTATGAGATGTCGTTACCCAGTACTCAGGATATTTTGTTACCCAATATTTGGGATACTTCGTTAGCAAACAGAGTTCAACAATGACAACAAGTAGGTGCAGTCAACGATGATCGATGGAAGTCGACAAACGGTGATTGACAACTACAGAGGTCGAAAGTTATCACCTAATCTTCAACCCAGAACAATACTAGAATTTGACTCCTCTCCCTCAAGTGAAGAGAGGGAGTTTACTTAAAGGATGACCCATATTGATCTCCTTTGACCATATGTGTTTTTTTAAATAATTTGAGGGTCTTAATGACTTGAGAATTAAGGGAACATAGGCTCGTTGGCTTACTCTCGTCGAGACACTTGATTTGAATATAGTCATATAAAATTTCGAGTTCATTTAACCATTTAATTAATGATTTGAGACATATTTAAAATTGCTTTAGTTTCTTGATCTAGACTCAATTGGACTCAAATTAAACCATTTTAGTATCATCATGTTTGTCTTGTTGAGACGATCAATTTGATTATAAACCTATCAAAATAGAAGCCCCAGATGATCTTTAATTTGAATTAGAATATTTTTTGTTCAAAAAATTATCTCGAGATTCATGCCAAATGATAAAATTTCTTGCTGACGTATTATTTGCCCTCTATTTCTAATGACATTGATTGTGTCAACAAAAAAAAAAACAATAAATGAAGAAATTCCAAAATTTTGGTGTTGGCTAGCGGAGGTCTGCAGGTAGCGACGAACAGTGTGAAACTATTAGTGGAAGTGTATGGGAGCTGTTGCACCAGCGACCAAGTCGTTGCTGGTTAGGCTGACGAAGTGTTGGTGCGGGTTGAGGCAGGTCATGTAAGGCAAGCGTCATGGGCGAAAAGCAGTTGCGTGTTACGAGGCAAGTATTATCGAGTTAGATGTAGGCAGCGCGCAATACCACACGCTAGAAGACAAGAACTGGTGGGCTGTAAATTGCTTCTTGCCCGTAGGGCAGAATACAGACACCCCTGTATGTGTGAGCGTGTGAGCGCTCACAAATGCTTTTGGAGCAATTTTTTTGAAATATTCAATTTTGGCGCCCAAATTTTCAAATTCGGGCCTAAAAATAGGACCATTGGGAGAAGAAAGTTCACCTCTCCAGTGGTCTGAGTCCTTTTCAAACTATTATTGCTTCACAATGTCAGAGTTCCTTTAAGGTTGTTGTTGCCTCCCCTTCTGAGTTTCTGTTGTTGCCCAATGACATTGGAGTTCCTGCTAGGTTTATGTTACCTTTCCTTCAGGGCTGTTGTTACCCAACAACAGTGTTCCTTTTAGGTTGTTGTTGCCTCCCATTTTGGGTTATTGTTGCCCAAAGACATTGAAGTTCCTTTTATATTGTTATTGTCATCCCTTCTAGGTTGTTATTGCCCAATCACTTAGATCGGAGTTATCCAATCTCTTTGGTTGGTGTTGCCCCATCTCTTGGGCTGTTGTTGCCCAACTTCTTGGGTTCTTATTGCCCCACCTTTTGAGATGTTGTTGCCAAAATGTTATTTCTTATACGTTCCCCCAGAGAAGACAAAACCATTAGAAGTTTTGGTAGGAATCTAATGCATTCCAATTAAATATTGCCTTTGGTTGGAGCATTATATCTTCTAAGATTATTTAGCTTCTTGAGTAAGTATAATCTTCTGAAGCTTACAACTCCCCCAACAATGTTAATTTGTGATGGACAAATTCGAATTGAAATCCACAAAGGAAATTTGATAGATCCCAAGTTGTAAGCTGAAGCTTCTACATGAAGATAATAGTCTATTATGGAAGAGGTCGAAATAAATCCACCAAAGAATTTTGATATATCCTACGCTATTTAGTCGGAGCGTCTGCTCGACGACCGTAGTCTGTTTTGAAGGAGGTCGAATGGAGTTCCTCTAAGACTGGTTAGGCCCATAATGAGGTGACAAATATACTTTGTTTTTCTCAAATCTGAGTGTGGGCCAAGATAGACTGTACTTTTTTCTTGAAAAAATAATTGCAACCATACTCAAGAATGATATTTCACAAGATTTTGTTGTTACTTTTGTTGTCCCCCTCTAGGGCCATTGTTCACACGAGCATGTAAAACATCCCATTTATCAAATATTGAGAAGGCCAACTTCTTGATCAGGTTGAGAATGAACTCCAATATGATAAGGGGATGTTGTGGGAGCGCTTTCCAGCTGGATCTCTCTGGTCAGTGGTTGATCTTGTTGTTATGTTTAAGGTGTTGAATTGTGTGTCTACACAAAATTATAGTGAAAGTTTACCTGTGTAATTGGTTCTCATATACTTGGTGAAATGCAAGAGGATTACCCCATCATAATCATGGCCTAGGATGTAGACATGAACAACCTTTCAAGATTGCAGTGAAGTCCAAATGCTTTAAAAATCATCTTTTTGTGCTTTCACTCACTTTGACAAATCCGAAAGGGGTGAGCAGAGTTTTTAACAATGACATGCTTCATAAACAATTTAACAAGCTCATTAGTGGTATAAAGGATTTGCCTAGAAGTGAATAAAACAAAGTAGGAGAGAACATTTGATAAAATAGCATGTCAGCATGGAGTGTATGATGGTTCGATCAACGTGTTCATGCAGATTAGACGTCTCATCATAAGAACTAATTCTTGAAAGCTTAAACCTTTGTTGTAATAGAGTGTTCGACTCCATACGTAATATTTTCTTCACAATAAGACACCATACTTGAATCATTTTTATTACCACTCGAGCCGCTTCGTCACAAGATTTTTGCATTTTACCAACAAATTTACCTGCTTGGTTTAATCAAACACACCTACAAAAAGAATATAACAAGAATCTTCTAATTCAGTAGAAATTATTACATTAATAGCTGAACTATTCTAATCAACTAGGATGTATACAACCAGTAATCAAAACACAAAAAAAATCCATTAATTAAATCAAAATTATTCTAACAACAACAACAACAACAAAACCTTTATCCCACTAAGTGGGGTCGGCTTCACAAATCCTTTATCTCCATTGCATCCTATTTAGTATCATATTTCTTTTAACTGTAATAGATTAAGATCATTTTTTATACAATATGCTCAAGTCTTCATAGGTCTACCTTTGCCCTTCTTAACATAAGTTAAATCTAAAACATCTACTATTCTAATCGAAACATCAGATGGTCAACGTTTAATCGGACCAGACCATCTAAGACAACTCTAATTTTGTCCGTCAATGGAGCTACACCAACCCTATCACGGATATAGTCATTTCGTGTTTTGTCTCTAAGTGTAAAGCCACTCATCCACCTAATCATTCTCATCTCGACAACACTTAACTTAGTTTTATGCTTCTCTTTTAAAGGCCAACATTCAACATCACAAAGCATTGCAGGTCTCAAAACTATCTTATAAAATTTTCCTTTCAGACTAGGCGGTACTTTTCTATCACACAGTAGGCCTGAAGCATTCCTCCACTTCAACCAACCAACTTGAATTCTACTTCTAACATCCCTATCAATATTACCATCACTTTGAACAATAGACCCCAAGATATCTAAAGAGTTCACACCTTTTAATAATTTGATCACCCATAGTTATATTTATGTCGCTAGAGCTAATGTCGTATTTATGTCGCTAGAGCTACTACTAAAATTACATTCCATGTATTCAATTATAGTTCTACTCAAACGAAGGCCTTTCAATTATGAAGTTGACCTAAATAAATTAAGCCATAATTCAAGTTTTTCCTATTTTTCCTAGTTTTTTTTCTCTCGTCTTATCCACGAGAAGAATATCATCAGCAAACAGTATACACCAAGATTTTTCTAACTAAAAAGAAAAAAAGATACCCTGAAGCTTTCAAGCAGATATATCAAGAGACAACAACGATGCATGCGAGCTAATTATAATGTCAACGCATGTGAGGTAAATTACAATGTCATTCAATCTTTTCTAACATTGATCATAGAACTTTCTGCTACATAATATACATATTCAAATCCAGTATTCAGTTATATTTTTCAAACTCGTCATCCAGTTCACTTAATTACTCTTCTTCAAAATCATCATGATTTGTATAAAAAACATGAATCAAACAACAAAAAATAGATTGAATAATTGGAAATGAACTTCTATCTTCCAAATATATGATGAATGATCAGTATCTCAATCCATAATATACAAATTAAAAATGTGCTGATTTTTCAGAAATGACAGCATGACCGACTCGAGTAAAAAATAAAGCGAACATTTAGCGAAGTGCATTTTACTGAGAATTATCAATCATCTTGCCGAAACGGTGACCGAGAATTTTATTATTTTTATTATTTTTTTAAATTTTCAGGTTAAAAGATGAAGATGGCATGTCCAAAGAAAGCAGCCAGCTTGTAATGAGCTTTACCATTGCTATCGAGGAAGATTGCTCTTTAAAATTCGAATAAGGGAGATGCTGCCGTCCGATCTTGCTTTTAACTTATCTGTTTTCTTACGCTTGCCCTCCTGCAATTAACATAATTGCCAGGGTTCAAAATATTTCAATTTCACAATATACAATGTAAGATCAACGAATAAGAAGCGCACCATTGCGTTCTCATCCATGAATAGCCCACCGAAGTCCTTAAAATGAATGGCTGACGCTGGAAGCAACTTCCTATAGTTTGAAAATAAAAAATTAGTAAAAATGTCACACGTTATCAATGAATCAAATATTATCAATGTAATTTTGGACAATCAGGACATGCATTAGCCTTGTTGCATTTACCCAAGTAAAAACATCAAATCGTTACAAAAGGAATGAATTCGACATCCAACAGGGACATAGAGGAAAACAATGGAGGCAAAAGAGGAAATATTCAAGGAACAAAAAGGTTAAAAACATAAAGCAACAAACCTTTTAGGTCTTTGGCAATTTAGTGGTCTTAAAGCAATGTCATCCTTTTCGCTATTTAAGGCTTCTGTTGAATAAGTAGTGGCACTCCGAACATTTTCAGTCAGGGTTACCTTTTCCAATGATTGCTGCTGAAATTAATGAAGGAAAAAATGCATTAATTACACCGCTTTAAAATCCACCGTTTCAAATCATAACATTGTTTCATCATATGCAAATAATTTAACGCTACAATGGATTTTTTTGGAAGATTTACAATGTACCACAAAATTCTGATGTATTTACATATCTAAAACCTAAGCTTAAATTTTACATTTCCACCACTCAACCTATGTATGAAAAAGTGTATTTCACTTTTTAAAAGTTAGTAATAATGATCTTTTTGATGCTATATAAAAGATTGAGTGTGATGAATGTAATAATCAAAATTTGGGTGTTAGATATATAAATATATAGGAAATGTGTGGTATTTATGTAAATGCCCCTCTCTTTTAGTTTAGTTCATTAAGTTGGATTGACTGAAATGAAGAGTAATTCAAATAATTGCTGATGCAAAAACTTTGTATCAAGATGCTGCAGCCAGAGAAGAGAACCACACGTCAACACTTATAACAGCTGCCTGAGTAAACTAAAATTGCAGGACCATGTTCCCGTAACAATTTGAATCGCATGTATAATAGCTAGAGGGCGAAGATCATATTTAGCCATATCACTCAACTTAATCAAGACTAAATGGATAATAAAATAATCAATCCTACTCATTTCATAACAGGGAGATAAGGCCTACATATATGCAGATCTATTCTGCCCTCCTGAGACATCTTCGCAGGGTGCAATATCCTCCGAAGTAGGAAGTCATCATTGACACAAAAGCAGATAGAACACGGAAAAAAAAAGAACCTTGCAAGAAGTCGAATTTATTTGGGTTTTGATTGAGAGGATAAGATCTCGAAAAACTGAGCAATGGCGACTTAAATAAACAAACAAGTGAGTCACTCTGAAAGCTGAAGAGCTGTCATGTCTCATTTATCATGCACAAACATTGACAATTTGAGAGACTTCCATTCAGATTGATACATGACAAAAATTTGTGTGGCTTTCAAACCTTCATATGCAATTGAATAGAAAACAACATCTAACTAAACATTATAATCTGCCTCTCCTCTATGAACTCATTGCTTCCTAAAACATCTTTGATTTTATTCCTTCAGAGTACCAATTGTAAAAAAATTCAATCCGAGTTAGCTTAACAAGAGTTTGAAGCATCGGAGGGGGACGGCTCTGCTCCACTATGATTATGGCTGATGAACCTTCTTCAACCACAATTATCCTCTTAGGTGAAGGTTTTTCAACAATTATTATTGTTACAAGAGTCTATCTCCCCCCTTCTTTCAAATTGAGGTGGGAGTGTCCCCCAAAGAGGCTTTGAACAGAGAAATTCATGCTCACTTTAGGCAAGAAATTTGAGCGTTCATATTTTTGGCACCATCTTTATTAAATTCAATTGTATCATGGAGGAAATTGAGCAATGGCCTATGACAACCACAAAAATGGTGTTCAATTACAACCTCATGTTCAAATTGATACGATGCACATTTTGAGCAGTGCATTGGCAAACCATCTAATGGTAACACCTTCATTGCTTGGAAGGAAAATGATGCTCGATTTGATGATATATATCAGAAATTGCACGGCCGTGAAAAATTCAAATTCTATCTCTACCAAATGACCATGATTATGACATGAAGCATTGTAGTGTTTTGAAGTCTCATCATTAAAATTAAAACAATGAGGAACAAATATATGTATTTTTTAATCTGATGACCCAGTTAGGAGAATAGATATTTTAGATTTGACTTACGTTAAGAAAGGTATAGATAGACCTAAAAAGACTTGGGCATGTTGATTAAAAAATGATCTTAATTTATTAGAATTAAATGAAAATATGACACTCAATAAGACATACTAAAGAAAAAGAATTCATGTAACCAGCCCCACTTAGTAGGATAAAAGCTTCTTGTTTTTATTGTTATTGTGTTGTAGTTGTTTGTGAAGGAAAACAACTCGTTCCTAGTGTATCTATATATAAGGAATATCTCTGAAATAAAAAAATATATATTGTAAATAGATCTCCTCTAAAAAGATTACCTAACATCATGCTTCCTAATATACAAGCCTTATGCTTATTACATTCCATAAAGCTCTCACTTAAGCTGGAGCATGTATTTATCATGCCAAACTTATTACAAATATAAGTGATCATAACTCCATTAAGGGTCTTTGTGAAGATGTCCCCTAGTTGTTTCAGTGTCCTTACATAAGCTGTAGAAATAAAATTTAGTTAAATATTTTGACGAACAAAATGACAACTTTATCTCAAAGTGTTTAGTTCGTTCACAGAAGACAGGGTTTGAAGCAATATTAATTGCAACTTGCTTATCACAGTACAACTTTGTTGGGATTGTTATCTTAAAACTAATTTGGTCAAAAATTGAGAGATCCACATTGATTCACTTGAAGCTTGTGTCACTGCTCAATGCTTAAATTTCACACTGCATCGTGACGCCACATTCTATTTCTTACTATTCAATAAGACAAAATTGCCACCAACAAAACACAATATCCAGTAATGGATCTCCGATCAATCTAAGAACTTGCCCAATCAACATCATAGAAACATTCAATATTTCTATGCTCATGATTCTGATATAGAATACCTTATCTAGGAGCACTTTTAGATAACATAGTATCTGCTCCAAAACTAACTAATGATGGATTGTGGGAGAGGCATGAAATGACTTAGGTACTAATTGAATAAGGGCCGCTTGGTTTGCTGCCTGCTCTCCTCGTTCGCCCCGTTGCACTATAGCAAGGGGTCGCAGGCTTCGCCTGCCTTTGTCGAGGGTTAAAAGAACAACAAAAGGGAATTGAGAGAGAGAAGGAATTCGGGAGAAAGGAGAGGATTTCGAAGCTCTGGCTGCCTCCTGGGCCGAAGCATGTAAATAAAAAGACTAGGGGCGTTGGGATATACTGCTGCGGGATTAGGATAAGAATAAAAAATAAATAAGGAAATTTAATTTAATTAAACTTAAAACTTCTAAATTTCATATCTCACAATCCGTTAACAATTCATGCATGATGTTTTTTATGAAATTGGTCGATTTCATGCATATAAGTTAATAAAAATTTTTCGACCTTCTGATAGTTGAAAAATTTTGGAGTGCTTTTCAATTGCCGAATTCACCTGATTCCTTAAAATTTGGGTGTTACATTTCTCCCCTTCTTATAAAAATTTCATCCTAAAAATTTCCGACTTTACTGGAATAGGAAGGAATATTTTTGTAGCATTTATTCTTCTTTATCCCAAGTTGCTTCCTTTTCAAGCCTGTGTTTTTAGTTTATCTTCACAAAAAGAATTCATATGTTTCTGAGCTTCTTGATATCAATTGTTAAAATCTTTTCAGATTTGTCAATATATATTAGGATTTAATGTACTTCAATATTTTCATGTGAAATTCTCTGTTCAGAATTTGAAACCCATTTTCTTAAAATTGAAATGTGAAATTTATTGTGTATATCTGACATATCCGCAGATAACACTAATCTGTAAGCAACTAGATCGCTATTTTTTATAATTTCAAAAGGCCCAATATATCTAGAACTCAACTTGCTTCATTGACCAAATCTAGCTGTAACTTTCATTGTCCTAACTTTCAAAAATACAAAATCTCTAACTTCAAATTCAACTGCATTGTGCTTTGGAAAAATTCTAGCTTTCGATCCTGAGCAGATTTCAATCTGTCTCTGATTAATTTGATTTTCTCTGTAGCTTCCTCAACTAGCTCGGAACCTAACATTTAACGTTCCCCCACTTCAACCCAACTGAGAGAAGCTCTGCACTTTCTGCCATATAGAACTTCATAAGGAGTCATTTTGATGTTGGATTGATAGATGTTGCAATCAAACTCAATCATTGTAATATGTTCTTCCTATCTACCTCCAAAGTCGAGAACACGAAGCCTTAATAGATCTTCCAATACGTGAATTGTTCGTTCTGATTGTCCGTCGATTTGTGGATGAAAAGCAATCCTGAAATGTAATTGTGTACCCAAACTTTGTTGAATGCCTTTCCACAACCTAAACGTAACTGTCAGAAACAATAATTTTTGGAACATCATGCAATCAGATAATTTTTTTGACATACAATATGACCAGTTTTTCCACTGAAACTGTTTTTCAAATTGGCAAGAAATGAGTGTTAATCTATCAATAATGACCTAAATACTATCGTGGCCTTGTCTGGATCGAGAAAATCTCTTAACAAAATCTATAGCAATTTCCTCACATTTCCATTCAGGTATTGGCAACGATTGTTGCAATCTGCTGGGTCTCCGATGCTCTACCTTTAAAGTCTGTCTGCTTGACATTGAGATACATATTCAACAACATCTTTCTTCATACCTAGCCACAAGAATGCCAACTTCAAATCTTTGCACATTTTTGTGTTGCATCGATGAACTGTGTATCCTGAAGGATGAACTTCAAGTAGATTTTCTCGTCTAAAATCCGTATCAGTAGGTACTCATATCTGTAGCTTATTTCAGATAACATCATACTCATCAGTAATTATATCGGTCCTCTTTTCTGAATGAAATTGCTTCAGAGGTTTCAAATATTCATGTTGACCTCATTTTTGAGGTCATTTCTTTTTCTAGGATCCTAGGATCTAGCTCTAGGAATTCCTACTGACCATCCTAGAAAACTAGAATTGAGACCCACCCTTTTAGAAATTCCAGTCACTTCCTATTTTTCTCTGATGTCTAACATTTATGGCACAAGACCATCGTCTTATGAACGAGCGGTTATGGGCTATTTTGTGAAGACTCAAAGGAAAAATTCCCAATAGGACTTCAAGCCATACGTCACGACTTTTAACTCCACGGAAAATCCAAGAGGCAATCTTCTTCCCCAGCGATCGCGGCTCGTCTCCTCGAGCTCTGCTCGACCGAGCGGTCCCCCAACTGCGATGTTCCACCTGGTTGGCTCTTCCTCTGCCCTAGGCCGCATTTCCTCCGCTCTAAATGTATTTTTTCTCTTCCTTTACTTGATTCGGCTACCAGGGAGGGTGGTA